CTGCGGGCGCGAGCACGGCGGCCCACCACGGAGGGCAGAGGAGGAGGACGGAGGGGAGGGGAGCCGGAGGGGGAGGGACGCGAGAAGCACGAGGGGGGGGGAAGAGGCTGAAGGGGTGGAGGTGCAGGAGGAGGAGGAGGAGGAGGAGGAGGAGGAGGAGGAGAAGGAGGAGGAGGAGGAGGAGGAGGAGGAGGAGGAGGCGCAGGGTGGAGGAGTGAGTGCAGGGGAGGGGCAGGACGAGGACGAGGGGTGAGGAGGAGGAAGGGGGAGGGCGAGGAGGAGGGAGGGAGGGAGGGAGCAGCGGGCGCGTGGGAAGACGCGCAGAGTCAGGGTGACGGGATGGAGTGAGGAGGATGAGACGAAAGATGAAGACGAGGGAACAGAAGGAGGGAGGAGGGATTGGGGAGGAACGAGGAGGAGGGGGCGAGGGAGGAAAAGGGGAAGGGAGAACAGAGGAGAAGGTCCAGCAGGAGGGGGAGGCGGAGCAGCAACAGCAGGAGGAGCGATCCCCCAAAAGTCTCCCAGTGGCCGCAGGAAGAGGGGGAGGGGGGGGGAAGAGTATGCAAGAGAATCCAACGAAGGATGCAAGGGTGTCCAGCGAGCCGCAATCGTTCTGACTGGTTTTGCTTGGCTACCATCCTCGTGCCCATCTCCAGAAGGCGCTTCGATGCAGCTGGGCAGCTTACTATCCCAAACAGGAGGGAGGAGGCTGAGGAGCAGCAGCGACGGGAGGAGTGAGCAGGAGGAGGAGGAGGAGGAGGAGAAGGAACAATCGCTAGGGGGACGGGGAAGGGGAGGCCCAGAGTGAGGATGAGACGGGACGACCCCGAACAACTCCCATGCGGCTGCTGTGGAATAGTCTAGCCTGACACGTGAACTCTTGACGACCGTGACCGGTTGGCGGCTTTAAGTGAACTGCCCATTCCTCGTGGACAGCCAGGAGCGCAGAAGAAGCAACGTCTGAACCCGCAGGCCGCATGCTCCCGTGCAGGCGGAAAAATGAAAGGAATAACGACAAGTCCGCGGACCTTTTGAAGAGGCTGCTCTCGGGTCCAGGGCTGGCGTGGTTGGATACCTTGGCACTGTCTGTGGGCAGTGGCGATGCAATTGTGGAAAGCATTGGAGCCTGCAATGAAAAGGTTATTGGGGATATCTGTTGTACTGAACGGCAGTCTGAGTGGCCCAGGGGACGTGTGAGTGGCGAGGGGACGCGCCAAAGATCGTGCCCAACCAATTGTTCAACAACCTCTTGGGGGCCCTTCGAGCCGTGTTGGGGTCGCCCTGGGGCTACCTTCGGCAAGCACTGGCCCTCTTCGGACATCCTGGGCCCAGTCTGGGCCCTCCTGGGGGGGGTTCTTGCTTTCTGGGACACGGCTCGGGCTGAGCCCCATCGGGCTGCCTGGAAGCCTTCTGGGGGCTCCCCCGTGGCGTCTTGGAGCCAGCTTGGGGCTCTTCAGGGGTCGTCTGGGAGCGATCTTGGAGGCGCCGGGAGCTGTCTGGAACAGTCCGACGGCCGACGAGGCGGGCATGCGTAACATCAGACAAGGGAGCAATAGGAGGCCAGCAGCTGCTGCCTGTCGGGGACCTCCTTGGAATTCGGAAGGCGTTTCGGGCGTCTTTTTTTAGGCTTAAGCTCCCTCTCAAGCCAGCTTTGCACTGAACTCCTTTTCAGACCAGCACTGGGCTGGACCCCTGTGAAAATGATATATCTTAGATATAAATGCGTTTCGGGCGTCCTTGGTGGACGAACAATCTGTATACTTTACCAACAGCCCTCGCGAGTGGGCGAGGGTCCTGGTCGTGCGCTGGTGTATCACATTCCCTCCCTTGGGCGTGGTTGTTGTATACTACACAAGGCCCCGGGCGGTAGACTCTGACTGGGGCGGGGAGGGCGTGGTGTACAATCATATCTTGGGGACCTGGGCCGTCCTGGGCGGCTCCTGTGCCGAGTGGGGCCCGCTGGGTACCCTGCGGACAGATTGGGGGGGCACTGGAGCCCGCTTGGGTGCCCTCGTAGGTCAGAGGCTCGGGGAACCTCCCGGGGAGCCGCTTGGGGCCTGCTTGGGCCGTCGGGCGAAGGATTGCAAAAAACCCTCAAGGGGCCCCTTCGTTGGATTGCAAAAGAAAACCCTTCGTTTTTGCAATCCTTCGTTTTTGCAATCCTCTTTGGCCCTCAAGGGCTGTAATTGTAATTGTAATAATTCTGGGGCTCCTGAAGTTTGAATGTAAAGAACGTCTCGAGCGGGAGCTTCGTCTGTGACTGAATTGCGCGGGCGTGCCGAACAGGGGCCCCGCGGCTAATCCGTGGAAGCGTAAACTCTGAGCGGGGGTACCTCCGCATAGGGTATGACGGGCACGGTTTTGACGCCCACGTTTCGAACAAAAAAAGTCTAGGTGGCGGGAAGCAAAGGCCGACGGGCCGCGAAGAGCATGTTGCATAACTGAAGTGGCAGGCAACTTGACATAAGGAACCGAAAACGCTGAAAACGACGGCGCAGCCGAGGCACGGGCGAAAAACTTTCTTATGTGCAGGCTCAGCGAGCAGGAGCCAACGCGGCAAACTTCGGGGCCGCACGTCGTGCGCCGGTCGGGGTGTACCTTGACGCACGAGCCCTGCCGGAATCCCACGCTGCCGCAGGGTCAGACGCTGCGCTGGGGCGTCACCGTGCCTTTGGACGAAAAATCAAAAAATGTCAAAACATTTTTGTGGGAAAAAAAAGAATCGTCGCAAAACTATGTTTGACTAGTTTGGAATATACCTCCTGCGGAGGGACATGCCCGACTTGACAAAAACTCGAATAAACCCGCGCGGAGTTCCGTCCGTGATCTTCAAGGAACTCCGCGGGGAAGGTCGCACGGGCACGTCGGACGAACAATGGTGGCTGCACCACACTGCCCCGCGCCACGCTCATCCGGAGCATGCTGATCCTGCGGCCGCCCACGCGAAGAGTTCCTGGAACGTGGGCCGCCGGTTTCCCTGCGGACGGCGCTCGAGACGTTCGACGAGAGAGCGGGAAGCTCCAAGGCCGAGGCGGAGCAACTCGCGGCAGAGCTGCGCTTCGCGTTGCCTCCCGCCTGAGCGCGGCCGCGACCAGCTCGAGACCCGCGGGGTTGCCCCAACGGCTTGCTCACGCGCCCCAGCGGCTCGCGAGGTTGTCCCATCGGCCTGGCCCGAGGGGCTGCACTTTGCGAGGCTATCATGTGGGATCCCACCGTCGGCATATTTTTGGCTGGGGAACTGGAGAAGGAAGAAGAAACGCCACAGCCATACAACCGATCCACTCGTTACTCTGCCCAACTTTGCGTTGGAACGGAAATTCAACAAACATTTATGGAAACCCACGAATTGTTCCCTCTTGGAGGCCTTCGGCCCAGACGGCTTCAACGTGGCATCCTAGACAGCGACGATGGGTCAAGAGAGCCTCGAAATTGGTTCCCTGACGTCCCCAGGACGGCCACGATAGCCCAGTATCGCCTCCCCTCCTCGACCTTTCCCACCTCCTCTTTTTTGTTTTCCCATTTCCTTTTCCCTCTCCTCCCCCTCCCATGACTCGGAACCGGCTTGCGCCCATCCCTTGCCAGTTGGGTAGGTGAAGCCGCAACCCCCTTTTCTAAAACTCAGGAGCGCACGCTGCATGCAGAGCCGCAGTTCCCAATGTTGTAACCTCAGGCCCGAAAGAAAGCCGAATCGCCGCTTTTGCGTTCGAGCATGTACGACTCGACGCCTGATCTGCCAAACCCGCGAGAATATGAATCAAATTCGACTGGCCTCCTAGATGCAAAACATCGAAAACATTAGCACCGCACCCGTCGGCACAACGGGCTTGCTTTTGGCCTCGCAGCCCACACCTGCCAAATGTATGAGACACTGTATGTACTGCCCAGCGGCACGCGACGACCCACCATGGTATGCGACATGGGGTGGCATGTTGCCTCGCATTTACTTACTTCCCAAAGGTTTCATCTTGAGTTCAGGCGAATCAGCTTCGTTTCGCATGACTCATTAGTTGTACACTATGGTTGCATGTTGTGTGCGCCAGTTGTGTCTGCTTGTCTGATCCCATCAACAGCCAGACGTGTTCAACATTAACCAGACCAACAACATGCGATAGTTCTGTTCTGACCTCGGTGTGTTGCAAACGCCCAGTGGCTGAGCCGCACATGTGAATAAACAAAGTCCCCCCAGTCTCTTTACGACGCTTGCGTTTTTAATGCGCCCATTGCCAGATCAAGTGCCAGACGAACCGGCCAATCCCTTCCATCCATCACAATTCCTCAAAGAGTTCAGCATCACACACTGTTGTCGAACTCTTTTTGCGCGCATGTATGTTCACTTGTCTACTAAGGACAAATTCACATTTTGGGGTTAACCCCACGGTGCCCCTGCGAGCGCCCGATTTCGCGTGGTTCCCGCGCTGGCTTTTGTCATGCTGACAGGCTCGTCGCAACAACACTTCCGGTGTGTATAGAAAATATGTTCAATAAGCGGAAAATCGTTGGGCCCGAACGGTTACGACAATTTGCAACGGTTGCGCACGATGCGTTTCGGCAACATTCCTGTGAGCGAAGGCCTCCGATGGCAAAATTTACTACGATGGTAAGACTCCGCATGAGGATTTGCCATTGGAGTATAAAGTAAACCTCGTCGTCGCCCTTGCGAATGCAGACGCTCTTCCCGGTTCCTCATCGCCCTTTTCCTTCTCGCCCTGGCGGAAACCATCTTCCCTTCCTCCAACATCAATCCCCTCCCCTGCCCCTCTTGCAAATCGATGTTCCTCCGCGCCGTTGCCGCCACAGCCGGCACGGGCGCGTTTTCCGATGGCCAAATCGCGAAGCCGCCGGGGCAACCCAGCGAGCCGGTGGGGCGCGAGAGCAAGCTGTTTGGGACAACCACGCAAGTTTCGAGCGACCCGCGGCCGCGCTCAGGCGGGAGGCAGCGCGAAGCCCAGCTCTGCCGCGAGTTGCTCCGCCGCAGCCTTGGGACTCTCCGCTCTCTTGTC